ATCTCCTCTCTTCCTGCTCCCGATGGTTAACATCTGCCAGACTCAGGCTCCTTGTCATCTTGGCTTTCATGACTGCCACTTTAACTCCATAAGCATGAGTTGAAAAGCAATTGAGAAGGAAGCCAGCATTTGTGTCTTTCCTGTACACATTCCTACCCAGTTTGCTTCCCTCTTTGCCAACTGGGCCATCCATAAAAGGCAGACGAGCGTCCTTTTCCAGTTCCAAGCTCAACTTGTTGTTGCCGTCGCCTCCATTCATCAAGCTCAGGCATTATCGTAGGCTTCTTTGCCGTAATTTAGCAACTGACAGTGCTTCTTGTATTAAGCGACTTTCTCATTGAGCAGTCATTTGCCGTTATTTGCCCAACTTGGCGACAAACACGATTCCATGGCTGAGCCTCGTGCTTGCTATTCAAAGTCAATTGGGTACAGAAGTTGTGTGACCTTGTTTTCGCAAAGGGGTTTCGCAACACAGATGGGGTGGCAGGGGTCGAGTGAAATATGTGAATCAGAGGGAGAGTAGACGGATCTTACGGGGCAAGAGAGAACATGTGATAAGACATAGGAAAGGAGGACTGCGTAACAATATGGCAGGGTCTGGTCAATATTCCCAGCACAAGGGTGAAGGGGGTGATAACGACAGTGTGGAGTGTGAATGGTTTTCATGAAAGCCGCTCCAGAGAAGCACACCACACTACATCGAAAGAGGCATGGTAAAAATTGTATCAGTGACCGTGTGATTGGAGGATAAAGGAAGTGTGAATAGGCCAGGACAGAAGGGGAGATACCACAATTGTTTAGCACATGTTTGGTCACTTGTCTCTTTGACGAGCTGTTGTGTGTTGCTAAGAATGGCGAGATGCACTGACGATGTCGGCAAAACGTTTTGGAAGGTACCACGTCAACGGTTCGACTTTGGAAATGACCATGCAGGCATTTTTCCAGAAAAGACATTCTCTGGAATTAAACAGTCAGTGATAAATCAAGCTCGTATTTGCGCATTTCTTGCAGATTGAGATTAAATATAGATTTTTTACTTTTTATAAATTTGTACAACTTATACAAGTTGTTTGACCTTGTTTTCGCAACTTTGTCATGTTGCTAGGATGACTGAGAGAAACGCAACGTGTCCGGAGTCCATTGTCTGCATCATCATTTCCAGAGTAGGACCGTGGATGTTGTACATTCTCAGACGTTTTGCCGGCATCGTCAGTGAGTTTCGCCATTTGTAGCACCATTCAACAACTCGTCAAAGAGACAAGACGTCTGAGAATGTACCACATCCACGGTCTTACTCTGGAAATGATGATACAGACATTGGACTCCGGACTAGGTGCGTTCTTCTAAGTCTTCCTACCAACATGACCAAGTTGGGAAAACAAGGTCAAACCACTTCTGTACCACGAAAGGAG